ACTTGCTTAACAGTTAAGCTGTATGAATAAATTTGAATGACATTAGCCGGTTTGCTTTCGTAGACTAATTAATAAAACGATGTCCAGGCCAGACAGGTACCCAAGCCTACTTCTCGTTAGCTTTTTTACATATTTCTGATCTCAGTTACTTGTTTAGCAGTTAAGCGATGTTAAAAAAAAGTTCTGATTTATGCTGGTTGTAAGATGCAAAAAGTTATCTATGCTGTTTGCTTAACGAGTGTAGGATTTAAAAACATTGTGAGCATTGCGATAAAGGGCAAACAAAAAAAAATGAAAGAAAAAGTATTCTTCTCTTTTAAATAAGAACGATATTAATTGCTAGAATAACTTGTTTTTCTATAGTCTGCATCCAAAGTTGTTTTTATAACATTCAGTGCCGGTTTAACCTTTAGAAGTACCCTGGGATACATGTAATGCGAAACACCTAGAAATATTTTTCAAAAAGAGATAAAAAACAGTTAAAGGAAATTAAATTAATTTTTTTTAGAAGTCTAACAGGAAACAAAAAACTTTTAAGAGTTTTCTTTGCGTAATTTATTGGAAACAAATTTCTCCCAAACACATCTGGTTTGGTGCTCCTGCTATATATTTAGAGATTCTTGAAAAAACCCAAAAAAAGAATATACAATGTTATTGGTCTTGACCTGGCATCTCGGCTTCGGTCACTTTCCCACTGCCGTAATGTAACGTCTCTGTACTTTTCTATAACTCCTTTCATGATAATTGTTATGACAATGATATCTATGGTAGCTAGACTTTATGAATGTAAGCAGAATACTAGATTGGCGACAAGGTCTCATCATATTGTAGCTGAAATTGTTAGATGTAACCGTAAGTTCTATCCTAATAGTTTCTTCTATGAAACATCTCACCTGTGGAACTCTCTTCTGGCTTTTTGCTTCCCACTCAATTTTGATCTTCAAAAATGTAAATGTAATGCCAATCGCTATCTTCTATCTTCTTAATTCTTGTTCGTTTATTGTCCTCTCCTCTTAATAGTATATTTTTCTAATATTCTCTAAGACTTGCATTTTACTGTCCCGCTTGGGGTGAAATAATTAAAAAAATATGGCAATGCTTAGAAATGATAGGAAACATCATAAAGTTGGGTGTTTGGTTTCTACACGCTCTGAGCCGAATGAACAAAGCAGATCGTTGACAAACAAAAACGAAAATTATTTATGACACCACCTAATATATATATATATATATATATATATATATATATATATATATAAGTTTGTGTGCGTGTGTGGTATTAATTGAATCATTTTTTTGAAATAGATCATTTAGAGTTTTCATACAATTTTATTCATGAATAAAATAACTTTTAACTTAATCCCTTCCATCTGGTGGAGAACCCCGAGTCACAGCCCCCAAATCCCATGTCTTAACTCGGCACTGAGAACAGTATGAAAAAGCAGATATATCTTTTAATACGTTCTCTTTTATTTTTCGTTTGTTCTTTTTCGCTATGAAGCATTTTAATGTCGACTAAACTGGCACCCCCATTCCAATTTCTTGCGAGTGAGGAGGGCTGTTAGAAACCCTGTAGTATAAAAAAAAGTCTATTAAAGAGCAGAAGAACTCTAGACGAGCCAACGCCATGCTAACTAGAGGTAGTGTCTCAATAAATCCCCGTGGAGAAGGTCACGGGAAACCACTCCACTATCAATCCCAAAAAAACAATGGAGATTTCGTCACTGACAAATTCAGGATTATAGATGCAGTCAGAGAGAAAAATGAAAGAGGAGTAGGACTAATATTAGACCAAGACATTAAGAAATGTGTTCTAGGATACTGTAAACTACCTGAAAGTATTATTGTCGTTAAACTGAAAAAAAAGCATTTTAACGTATCCAGCATAGTTGTTTATGCACCTACGGTACAAAGTACAGAAGAAATTGAAACGTTTTACTCTACGCTAGACAACGCCAAGGCTCAATGCAAATCGCAAGAAATTATAATCGCCGTGTGAGACCTGAATGTCAAAATAGGCAAGAGGAGAGATGGGGAGATAGTTGGGAAATTCGGACTAGGAACTCATAATGAAAGAGGGGTTCAATGGTGCACGGCGAATGATCAGGTAGTAGCCAACACCTGGTTTCAGAACACCCAAGACTTATATGAACATAGAGAAGCCCAGGAAGACAAACGAAAAATCAAATCAATTAGATAATGTTATAAAATAAAATAAGGCATATCTCGGCTGATTTACAGGCAAATACTCAAGAGCGAGAGCCGGGTGTAAACGGGACAAAGCCCCGTCACAAAATGACCATTATCTTCATTTACAAATGTTCCCGACACACGTGTTCCGGTCGAAAAATAAAATAATATTTAAAGTGTTCTATTTTTCGTCCAATAAAAATGCTTCCCTCCTAATTATACTCGCTTCGTTTTTCGAGCCTGTTAAGCCATAAAAAAACGCTATAAAAGGGGTCACACGGAAGTTCAACAGGAGTCAACAGGTGCCCAGGGTAGAGACCTGTCGCGGTCAGCAGCTGATAGCAGGGAAGCGTCAACCACCGTCAACATGTGAACTACTATGAGAGATCGACCTAGATCCGAAGCCGGCTTATGAACTTTACCACAAGGTAGCTGTCCCAAACCCACACGTTCCTGTTGAAATAAACCACGTAAATCTATTTCTGCTGTTGTAGTGTTTCTTTCTTGCAACCATACGCTTGTCTATAACAATAACTATCGATAAAAGATTCAGGAATGCAGTTTTACACTGCAAAACATATGCAAGTGCTGACTGTGGAAGCAATCACCTTCCAGTGATATGTAATCTTAGAGTGAAACTACGGAAATTGAAGAGGACCAAGACAGCACCTAAATTGCAATACAACTGACACCGGAATGGTCCGAATGTGAATGAGAAATGTATAGACAGTGTGAAAAGTAGATACAATGAACCAAATCAGAATGGAAACTCGAAATGAAGCTTTATTAACATCAGCGATCGAAATCATCCTGTTGTGACCAAGTAAAATGGTTAAAGATATAAACAAACAAGGGTTACAGATATATCATATATTAAACAGTAAGTACAGCAGAAGAGTATTACACGACTAGTGAATGTGTGTCGGTTGACCCAGCGTTCAATATATTCGACTGTTCCCCTAAGGCCGTCCCTCCTACTAATTTTATAGTAGGCGGAAGAGTCCAATATAGACTCTTTAGAGGGAAGACACCACAACATCCTAAAGAAGAATAGACAAAGGAAACAAGAACGAATGACATGAGATTCTCAACGTGATGAAAAGGAGACAAAAAAGTGCCAAGTTACGGAACAGAATATAGAACTGCGCAAAGAAATTAGGAACAAATGCAGGCAAGCTAAAGAGGAGTTGCTCAACGAAAAATGTATAAAAATAGAAAGAATATCACAGATAAAGCAGATAAATTAAAAATTGCATAAAAATTAATGGAATTAACAAGAAAAAAGGTATGCATGAAATAGGACGTGACATTGAAGCAAAATGCTTCAAAGACGGAAGAATATATCGGAGAATTCTTCCACGAGGAAAAAGAGCAATTGCGAATACACGAAAATAACGACGAGCCAGAAATATTAAAATCTGAAGTGGAACTACCATTGGCCAAACTGAACAAGCAGCAGCACCAGACGAAATCGTAATAGAGATGCTAGCAGCCATAGATGATTTCGACATTGACAAGATTGCAGACATAGCAAATGAAGTATACGACAGTGGTTATATACCGGAAGACCTAAGTAGATTTATTTTCATAGCACTACCTGAGAAGCCAGATGCAAATGAATGTGAAGTCTCTCGGTCAATCAACCTAATGAGCCATTTAACAAAACTTATCCGAATTTTGATGAATAGAACGCGCAGCAGAATTAGACCGGAAATAGGACAACGACAGCTCGGGTTCGTTAAAGACCCATCATTAATTAACTGTTGCAGCATACCTACGGACGATAATGAGTATGTTCCCATTCACATAAATACAATAGTAAATACTGTATGTTGGTCTGCAGCTGTGCTGGTTAAACTTTGCCTCCGGACAAATAGGATCCCTAGACGTGGCTATGTCGAAGGGCAGAGCCTCATCTCGGGAAACAGCTACCTGACCTCGTTATATAGGGGGGTCTACGGGAAATTTTTGGCCGAGCCTATGGGTTCTGATACCCCACATTAAATTCGGCCCTGTGCCACATCTGACCAGGTGGGGCGGTTGATAGATATCCTGCTGGTGAAGATTCGTCTCCAGTTGTACTGGTCAAACTATCAGTCTCTAGACAAACAGGAGACCCAGACGAAGCGGAGTCGAAGAGCAGAGCCTCGTCTCGGGAAACAGCTACCCGACCCCGTTTTATATGGGGTCAACGGGGAATTTTTGGCCGAACCTACGGGCACGGATACCCCACATTAAATTCGGTCCTGTGCCACATCTGACCGCGTGGGGCGTTTGGTAGATATCCAGCAGTTGGAGGAGATTCATCTCCAACTGTGCTGGTCATAATCTCTGCCTCTGGGCAGAGAGGATCCCCAGACGAGGCAATGTCGAAGAGCAGGGTCACGTCTCGAGAAGTAGCTACCTGACCTCGTTTTATATGGGTTCTATGGGGAATTTTCGTACTTATGCCACATCTGACCGCGTGGGGCGGTTGGTAGATATCCTGCAGCTGGAGATTCATTGTGGAATTCACTTGACTCACTTCTAGCAGTTGACTACTACTTCTACGCGCTGCTGGCGAATCTTATATGTGTTGTTCTTGTTCTAAGTATTATCATTCATTACCAACCTTCGTGTGATTATTCCATTCAGTAACCTTTCCTAGGCTACAACATTAACCCATAGCGGGAGGGGGAGAAGAGGTGAATTCATTATTTCTCAATGGTATTTGTGCGTAAGTGAATATAACGAACCCAACTGGAATTGGAACACGGCTTTTCTATTAACAATTCCGTGTCAATATGAATTACACCGCCCACACATCCAAGATTACAGCACCTGGTATTCCCGAGGTGTCACCCATCTACGTACTGATCAGGCTTGATATTGCTTAACTTTGATACTCGTACGGGAACCGATGTTTCAACGTAATATGGTCGTAGACACACAGTTATAAAACGAGTTCTATTTTGTGAAACATTCGTTGTAATTATCTTTTTTTATGAATTGTAACAAAACATAGTAAAACTGTTTGCAAAATCCCTGGGAAAATTCCATAAAGCATTTTTTTTTGTTTATTTATTTACTTTCTCGTGCTTAAGTTACTGAAGGATAAAGGAAGAATCTTTTGTCGAATTTATTTTTTCTTTTCTTCACTAGAATTTAAAACTTAAGTGCCTAAAAGTATTTTCAAGCATAAGGAAAACAAATGTCGAAACCTATCTTTTCATTTATGAGAACAGACTAAAAAAAAAAAAACAAAACAACAAAAGTCTACAAACTACGGAAAAAAAAAACTTCTTTTTTTTATCAAACTTATTCTGTATCGAGACAGTAAATGCACAATTTTACATAAAATATAACGAGTTCTGTGTGTTGGTAGGTCTGGTGTCTCGCGGAGACTTTTTGTCGAATTAAATATTGTTGTGTCTATATATTGGAGTTACCGACTTAGGGATGGGGAAGTTAGCAAATTGTTGAGTCAGAGGTTACCATATCGTAGAGGTCGGTAAAATATAACGAGTTGTGTGTGTTGATGAGTCTAGCATCTGGCGGGGACTTTTTGTCGAATTAATTGTTGTTGTGTCTAGATATTGGAGTTACCAACTTAGAGGTGGGGAAGTCACCAAATTGTTGAGTCGGAGGTTACCAGATCATAGGGGTCGGTAAAATATGAGTCTTGTGGGGGACTTTTTGTCGAATTAATTGTTGTTGTGACTAGATAATGGAGTTACTGACTTAGAAGTTCCAAAATTTAGAGTCTGAGTCAAGATTACGACATTGAAATGGTCGGTAATGGACATACTGATGTTGCAGCCTGCTTGGGATTGTATGTTAAGGTGCTCTCTTGGCAATATAGTTTCAGGGTAAATGAAGGAAATGGAATATAATTAGTGACACTAAACTAGAAAGAAAGAAGTGAGAATCCAAACCAATTAGCAACAATGACAATAGCGTGCTGAGTTGAAGGTGAGAACAATAGCGAAGAAATTTGACTTTCATTGAGGGCCTATCATTTGTTTTCTGACTGCGTTGTCTGTTCACTAAAATTAAGATGGAAATATTATGCTAGTCAAGATGTTGAGTTAACAAATACATGTAGGGAGACCTTGGTAATATCTGGTCGTCGAAAGCAGATAATTACCCAAATAATTAAGATAAAAAAATAAATACGGCTAGGGAGAAGTTGTTTACTTTGTTTCTGTTTGCTGTTTCTGCAGCTGGTGTTTATCATTATTATTATTATTATTATTATTATTACTGGAGTTTCCCATTACACAACCCTCCTTCTTCCCTAATAGAACACCGGGCTTCGGACGGGTATCAAGGAACTGAAAGTTTTCCAACAAAGATGCCTGAAACTGAATGTTTACCAACAAAGATGCCTTAAACTAAACGTTTTCAATCAAAATACCTGAAACTGACTGCTTTCGATCAAAAATGCCTGAAACTAAATGTTTTCCAACAAACCTGCTTTAAACAGAATATTTTCCAACAAAAATTACCGAAACTGTTTTCAATCAATAATGCCTGAAACTGAATGTTTTCCGACAAAGATGCCATAAACAGATTGTTTGAAAACAAAGATACCCTAAACTGAATGTTTTCTATCAAAGATATCCGAAGAAGATTCTGCGAAGCACCTACCAATGTGATCTAAAGGCGATGAGTTTCGACTGGCACGATTTTGAAAGTGTTGTGAGAAAGAATATTTTCATATAAGTTTGGAATCACCCGTAAGGCATAAAAATACGCGTTCATCAGTAGCAGCCTTTGCTAAGTCAGGCAGTTCGCTACCAGGTTTGTCGAACTCTGCCTTCAGGTAGAGAGGAACGCAGATGAGGCGATGCCAAAGGGCATAGTCTCATCTCGGACGGTAGACAAACCCGACCCCGTGTATGCGGTGTCTACGGAGAATTTTTGCCCAAGCCTACGGGCTCGGAATCGCCCGACATAAAAACAGGCCTTGTGCCACATCCTGTCTTGTACAGAGGCTTTGGTTAATATCAGTAGCATTTACGTCTTAACATTTCCTTCCCTAGTTTCTATTCTACATTATGTCTCCCTGTACCAAAAGGTAAAACATTTGTTGTTAAACCAATTCCGGTTTTCTACTGTTGTTTTTGATACCTACGGTTTGGCGACACGAGGATCGAGGGTTTTTTAGAGACTAAAAACAAATTAAAAACGAAAAGAACTCGAAAAGCACGCCGGAATAAAAGGTACAGTGAATTTCTTTTTTCTTTCGATTTGAAAAAAAATTGTTTTCGTCAGTATGGAGGAATTTAAAACTTTTATGCTGGAACTATTAAAACGGAAACAACAAAGAATGGAACAAATGCAGGAAATGTGTTTAAACCAACAACAGAACCAACAATATAAAGAAATGTTTGAATTTTTTTTTTTTTAAAGTCGGATAACGAAGGAACTGTAATTACTCAAGATTCTATCGCAAATTCTATTTGTGAATTCAACTCTAATCCTGACGAAGGAATAACTTTTTCCTCGTATTGTAGGCGTTATGAAGACGTATTTTGACGAGATTGTCTCGGATGGACAGATGGAAAAAAATTCGGTTACTGCTACGGAAATCAGGACCTGTAGAACATGAGTAATATGTAAAAATGACATACTTGCCAATAAATCTGCGGATATCACATTTGACTGTTATTAGAAAAATATTCAGTGATAAAAGCTCACTTTTTAAGACCCGTTGGAACTGCTTGAATTTAGTAAAAAAGAAGCTTAGAGACTACTTAACGTATGCTACAGTAGTTAATCGTGAGAAATTCAAACTCGGTGAATTAAGCACCGACATGTTTAAATGCTTAATTTTTGTCCAGGGCCTTATGGCGAATAAAGACGCTGAAATTCGCGCCCGAATTCTAACAAGACTTGAGCAAGACATTAATTTAACCTTCCAGAAAGTAGCCGAGAAATGTACCAGGATAGAAAATCTCAGGTACGATAATCAAAAAATTGAAGATAGCGAAAACTTCCAAATGCACGCAGTACGTCAAGAAATAAGAAGAGGCATTTTGAAAAATCTAATCCTTTTTGTAGTAGAACAAATACGAAAAAAATTATTAAACCAAATTCCTGTTGTGGCTGTGGAAAATTTACATTTAAAAAAAAAAAGACTGTATAACGACAAACATTTTTTTCGTGTGTGGGTGGGGAAAGGACAGTCACACCACAAATCAAATCAAAGAAAAATAAGGAAACTTAGAAATACAATGAATATGACTTCAACTGAAGAATTGCAACAGCCGATCCGAGTTCGATCCTCGGCACAAATGAACATAAAAGGAAATATATTAATACTTAAATTAATGGAAAACTTGTAAAGTTTCAATTCGATACAGGGTCTGATTTAACGATATTAAATGAATCACACATGGATCAAATTGGGTAAACCAAGTTTAACGTTTTCAAAAAAGATTGCTCGCGGCGTCACGGGAAAAAAATCAAATTCAAAGGAGAATTTGTGTTGCAGAATTTTCGATTAAAACCATAAAAGCAAAGGTATTTGTTATGGAAAGAAGCAGTAATCTGTTTGGGACTGATTGGATGAGCCAGTTTAACTTGTGGGACGTTCCAATAAGTTCATATTGTAAAGAAATAAACGTTTTGTCTTCTAATTCTGAAAAATTAAAAGAATTAAAAAACACCACCCGGAAGTTTTTTTCTGAAGGTCTAGGGAGGTGCGAAAAATAATTAATAAATTTAAACTAAAAGAAAAGGCTACGCCCGTGTTCAAAACAAAAAGGAATGTTCTTTTTGCGTCACTTGATGCAGTTAACAGGTAACTTGAGAGGTTCGAAAAAAAAATAGGAGTAATTTCTAAAAAAAATTATTCCGAATGGAGTGCACCATGCGTTTATGTTAAAAAAAATATAAGAGTTTGCGTAGATTTTATCTCCGGATTGAACGATTTTTTAGAAACATATTCGTACCCGATCCCGAACCCACAATAAATTTTCGCCCAGTTAAGCGGTGGAAAATATTTTTCTAAATTTGATTTTTCGGACGCATATTTGCAGAAACCTGTGGATGATGAGTGTTCTAAAATTCTCCCTATTAATACCCATCGAGGGGGCTACAAATTTGATATGTTACTTTCTCGGGATAAAAGTGCCCCCAGGTATTTTTTTGACAAGCCATGGATGTGATGCTTGGAGATTTGAATTTTGCTACTGCATATTTAGATGATATTCTAATAAAAAGCGAAATATTCTTATGGTTTTGATCACGATGTCTGGGCGATTAGCTTTGATTTTTCGGTCTGTGCGTATTGGGAAGTCCCATTAAATTGTTCTTTGTAACTTATTCTCCTTTTTTTCCTTTTTTCCTCCTCCTTTTTCTTCTTTTTTCCTTCTTCTCCTTTTTCCTTCTTCTTTTTCTCCTTTTTACGTCTCCATTTTTTCTTTTTCCTTCTTTTTTTTCTTTCTTCTCCTTTTGTTCTTTCCCTCTTTTTTCTCCTTTTGTTCTTTCCCTCTTTTTTCTCCTTTTGTTCTTTCCCTCTTTTTTCTCCTTTTGTTCTTTCCCTCTTTTTTCTCCTTTTGTTCTTTCCCTCTTTTTTCTCCTTTTGTTCTTTCCCTCTTTTTTCTCCTTTTGTTCTTTCTTTCATTCTTCTTTATTATTATTATTTCGATTTCTGTTGTATAATCATTTCCTTCGGTGTCCCAATCTGAGACTTAAGGTCAGAAATGGTATTATAACATTTTCCATTGCACATTTGTGAAACCCCCCCCAAAAAAAACCCAAAAAAAAACAAAACAACAACAACGTAAAACGCATAAATAAAGGTAGATAAAGCTTTTCGTAGGTGTGCGTTGTGCTTGTCAGAACACTTTTTTTTGTATTTCTTTAAAGCGTGGGCTACCAGGGATTTCTTCAATGGATCTATTCGAACTTTTTCCAAGCAAACCTAGGACCATAA